TTTTTCAGGAACACGTTATTTAATTTGACAGGTGACACTCAAACAAAGAACTTGATGGATACAAAATTCGCTGTCAAGGCAAGCGTGACGTCACCAGGGAGTGTTCATTATTGGAACTTCCTGTAGGTGGTAGCAAGTAAATATAAATAAAAATGTATTTCACCATATTTTCAAATGCCGATTACAATAAACTGAAATGAAATATAGACGCCAGATATGTGTTCTGGTAATCATTATCATCACTGAGGCTGGGAAAATATCAGTAACATATTTTAACACACATTGCAATTTAGAAAGTGATCAAATGTAACAAATGTACAGAATCGCCTAATTGCCAGCACACAAAGTCAGTGATCTAGCCCCCTCAGCCATCGAGGCTTTAACAAAATGAAAGTCCGACAACTGGTCGACTGGATCACTGGGTGGGTTAGATAGCTGACTTTATGTGCTGGCGGTTAGGTGCCTCACTCTGGCAATGTGGGTTCGAGTCCCGGATGGGACTCAACCCAAAAAGGTACGAGAATCTGTACTTTACAACGAAAGTGTTATCCCAAATGTAACATTTGTTACAGTAACATATTGCTGAAATGTATGCATTTATTATACATGCATACCTTCGTGTATAACGTCTTATCTAACAGAATGTGTACTATGTAGTGTTGTCTTACTGTCAGATGTATGGGGAGGACCCACCCAGGGACATTATGGAAGTAAGCGTTAATATACGAGTACCGTGTTATCAGCTTATCTTATAAATGTGAAAGGCTATTTCAATTTGAATTTGTTTTAAATTATATTTATTGACAGTAACAATATTACATGCGTATTATTTGCAGCGATTGTTTTCCAATATACCTTGTCCTTTATTTCAAAGTTGATTCGATGACTGACGATGTTCCATTACAAAAACATTAAGAATTTATTAATTTGACCAGGATACCGACGAGCTGTTCCGTCCCATGTCAATGGATACCCGAGTTACAGACAGACCTACCCGTCTACTGGCTACTTACAACCTTCCTACCCGTCAAAACACACCCCGTCTTACCCTGAGCGCTTGAACGTCTACCCCGGACATCAAGACCGTTATCATCCAGGTACCTCAGCATTTCATTCTATTATAACTACTTTGATTGCTGAGTTAAACCATATTAACATACAGTAAGGTACGGTTATAACGAACACAAAGGGACTACTAATTTTAGTTCGTTATAACCGTAGTTCGTTATAAGCATATATACAGCATAACTAAAGCAAATAGTTGGGACCCAAAAAGTAAGTTCGTTATATCCGTCGGTTCGTTATAAGCGTGTTCGTTATAACCGTAGTTTACTGTATCTGTCAACATATACGAAATAAACATATCTGTCAATATATACGGAAGATATAGCCAATACATCATTCTCCTGACACAAAAATTATATAAAGAATGGTCGATTCGGTTCATTCATATATTACATACATAGGCGTACTAAATTATCTTTGCTAGAAGTGATAGCACATTTTTCATTGAACTCGCTCAATAACGCACCTGGGTATTTGCAGGTCAGCAATGGAATCAGTGGGGATCCCAGTCTGGCAACCAGAAATGTGGCTCATACCGGGTGAGTGTTTATTCATACTGTGAAAATGAAAAGTCATAAGTAAACAAATACTCTGATATTTAAAACACCACAATGGATAAAAGGATATGTCGTGCTTAACGGTCTCGAAACAAAAACAACGTCTAATCGACATGCATCGTTAAGCGGGTCATGTGTTATTAACGTGATCAACTTGTTAGGCACACCATGCTTTCATTTCATTTTAGATAGTTTGGTTATGATGTAATATAATGAAATATAATATAATTTATTATTTTTTGCAGGGATGTACCCGATGCTGTGACTATGACCTCCAGGCTTGAAATCCTTTCCCACAACATTGTGCAATGTACAAATCTTTTCAAATAAAATAATGATTATGAAATGGCCTTGTTATTTTGATTATTCTGCAGCATTGCAGGGAGGATCAAAGATTATCCTCGCCGCAAATAGCTGTTAGATTGCTGATGCGGGTTTAAGCAATAATTACTAACTCACTCAACGATTTTCGGAATATTATCAAGTAATAAAACTGACGTTGATCATACATCACAAACACCATGTCATCTTAAACTGTGAATGTCTACTTTCAGAGAGAGATGCATCTTTTCTACTCTAATTGATAATCTTGATGTTGAAATGTATGTTAAAATAGAGATGATGGAAGACAACGATATGTTAGCATTCTTTCTTGGTGCAGGTAACCATTACATTGATGAAATAGCGTGGCATTTCACTATTATTTAAATATTTATATCAAATTAAACATATCCTAAACAACGTGTGGTAACCTTACAAATAAAGACATTCATTCATTCATTCATTCATTCATTCATTCATTCATTCATTCACTTGTGTAACACTTGACATCATTAAGAGGCACTTGAGGTAGAGTCTAATCAGCCTTGATTTCAAATTCTACTGCTTGTCAGCTTTCCTGTACAGCAGGTGCAATATTATCTCAGAACTAACAAATACCTGCTTCATACATATGGCTAAAAAAACCTCGACTGTTTATGTTTTGCATATGATTTACATATGCATTTCAACTTCACGAGGACACACTGAGTAATACCTACGATGTACAAAAATACGCTCATAGAGATATGTCTACACATGAAGCATGAAAAGCATATACGATAGGTATGATAATCATTTCAAAATCATCTTTGAGCAAAAGTCAAAGCAACTCGCGTTTTCGCCTCCTTCCGCCCGGTTAACGGAAGGTCCGGGGCTCGATCCCCGGCCGTGTCATACCAAAAGAATTTAAAAGATGGTACTTGTTGTTACCCTGTCTGGCGCTCGGCATTAAGGGGCTAAAACAATTACTGGTCTGTTCGGAGTCAGTATACTGTGTCTGAGTTGGGTATTCATGTTAAACTGTGGCATGGCATCTCACCGGGCTAGCACTAAAAAATCGGCATCAGTCCGGACTAGTATAAGCAGCCACACACACACGTCGCGATATAAGTGCAATAATCTTGGACGCGACGTTAAACCCCATTTCACCTCACCTCACCAACAATGCTATTAAGATCCTGAGAATCTCAGATATAACCGCAACACTACATGCGAGAATAAAGACACGTACTTTAATTAATGGATTATGATGGGTGGGAACTGATGAGCACTAAGATGTGAAAATCACTGCTATAGTTGACGCGTGGACTGTGTGAGATGTAAACTTGACCTCTGCAGTCGAAACTAGGAAGTTTCAGCACATTTTAAAGAAAGAAATCGCCAGTGGACACGTAGACTGCACTGTAATATGTAAGAATGGACTCTTGGCCCCCTCAACACACTTCTCTCAGGAAGCGCTGCCTAGTCAAACCCACCCAAAATGGGTAGACTGCATAACCCAGATTGTCCGAAGGGCTCTATTCCTGGCAGCAAACCCGGGTACTCTCCCAATGTCAGTCAACAGATTGGGAGGTACCAAACCTAAGGCACCGAGACCAATGGGGAGTCGGACAACTTGGTACTTGGGATGGAAGCGTGACATTTCTAAAGCGAGGTCCACATTTTTGCCATGTTTTTTTTTCTGAATCTTGTCAATCATAGTAGTGTCAAAAGGGACAAAAAATTCAATGATATAAATGTTTTCATTGGATTTATCAAAAAGAAAAAGATCTCTTGACCTGGATAGGTCTGAGGCTGTATAAGGACCTATTCCGAAGAATTTTGTATTTATCATTTTTCATGACGCCCTCAACATATTTTTTGCATCAATCAGATAGCCTCTCCTTGAAAAACTTAGTCTGGACCGATTTGATATGGCACTTCGCTTAGTTGACACTCATTTCTGTACCATCCAGCAGTACAGAACAACACTGCCATTGTGAGTATGTCCCACATCCTTAACTCATATACGAATACTGTGGAGTGCCTTGTTTTCATCATGAATCTTGACATGCTTCACAAGAGGATCATCAGACAAATAAAAGTATTCAAAAGTGCCCCAAACAATTCTAACATAAAGAGCCCCAACATTAAGCAAACCACGCCCTCCCATTATAATTGGTAAATATAAGAGATTGACCGAATAATAATAATAATAATTATTATTATTATTATCATTGTTGTTGTTGTTGCTTGAATAGTGCTAAAAGCGGCGCATTAAATTGTTTTGGTATCCTGCTCCATTTCACGGTGTCTTAGAGGAGTTATTTCAATCTAAGAAGCATGTATGTATGTATGTATGTATGTATGTATGTATGTATGTACGTACATACGTACGTACGCACGCACGCACGCACGCACGCAAGCACGCACGCACACAAGCATGTACGTATGTATGTATGTACGTCCTGACAATGCCCTGCCCTGACACAGTGACCTCTAGGTTCAGGTCGTCGGTCTCAGAGAAGTAAAGTATTAGGTGACAGGTGAATTAATGTCACACGCCGACTCACTTAGCTGTACCATAACTCACATCCTTCACGCAAGGCTTTCGCACTCGCGATAACATGAAGTTCCATTCTTAAAACCATAGGTTACATGGGCATTTGACCTCAGATGACAGCCTACACAACACCGACATCACATTTTGCGTGTTGAAGTCAAAGGTGACAGGCATTTCGGATATAAATCTGTCAAGGAATGTCACAAATAATTATCACGGAACTGTAATTTTGCTTTTAGTGAATTATAGATAGTATAAAAATAACATATGTAATTTTTTAAAACAGCTATCGAATAAAAGTGAATATATATTAATTCATGGTCATCTGCATTGATCGGGACAACCTCATTGTGTCAGAAAAACAAAGGCTCTTATAGACTATACACGCATTGCAGTTGTCAAGGATTACTGATTGTATTATGTGGACAATATATTTTGCCGCGATGTTTTATTAAATCTGTCAGTATCCTGTCAATCCGAGTAGGATCCACACAACAAAGTCAGTTGATAATCTTACAAAGTTTATTCACAAGAATTGTAATTGCACAATGTAGTAAGGATTTCAAGCCGAGAAGTCATGCACGCAGTGTCAGTCATCTTGAGCTCTTCATCCCTGCAAAAGGAGAACGTAATATTTCATAACAATCTATATGGCATTACATACAAAATTAACCAAGTAAAGGTATGGTACATAAATATTAAATTACACGGTTGTACATATATGTACTGTATTGTGGCAAAATTTGTTTTCATGTCATGTTAATGGTATGAATAACACCTACCCGGTAAGACCCATATCCCTGGCTGCCGGAATGGGATCCCCACTGGTTCCATCGGTGACCTGCAAATACAGCAAACTACTGTTATAAGGAACATGCTTATAACGAACTGACGGATATAACGAACTTACTTTTTAGTCCCGACTATTTGCGGTAATTATGCTGAATATATGCTTATAACGAACTACGGTTATAACGAACTAAAAATAATAGTCCCTTTGAGTAAACCGTAGTTTACTGTAGTCATATGCCTTACTATGTCATATATTCCATGTGACCAGAGGTGAAATTGGGACAAAGACAGAGACACAATTGGATATTAATAGCACTTTAATTACTTCTCGCTGTTTTCCGTTCATGTAAAACCAGGCATCTGGTCATAGCTACATGACATTTACACATGTGTATAACAGAAATGTTAATATTAAGTATTACAACATTAATATTATTCATAGTATTATCAAATTATTATACATTGTGTAAATTGAGGTACCTTGTTGATAACGGTCATGATGTCCGGGGTAGGTGTTTAAGTGCTCAGGGTAGGAAGGTAGGTGTAGAGGATAGGTAGGGTAGTGACGCGACGGGTAGGTTTGTCTGTAGCTCGGGTAGCCATTGACATGGGACGGCACAGATTGTCTGTATCCTGTTCAAATGAAAGCATTTATTATGTTATTGTTGATAGATGAGAGACAAACGGTATACGCTATTGATGTTGCAGTTATGTATAAACCTACAGGTGAGATGAAATGGGGTTTAACGTCGCGTCCAAGATTATTGCACTTATATAGCGACATGCATGCACGTGTTTTGTGTGTGTGGCTGCTTGTACTAGTCCGGACTGATGCCGATTCATAGTGCTAGCTGACGGAGATACCATGCCGCAGGTTAACATGAATACCCCACTCGGACACAGCATACTGTCTCCGAGCCGACCAGTACTAGTCCTTGTTTTAGCCCCTTAATGCCGAGCGCCAGACAGGGTAACAACAAGTACCATTTTAAAACGAACCCCGGACCTTCTGCTCACCGGGCCGACGCTCTACCACTAGACCACGGAGGCGGTGTATGAACCTACAGAAAAGGTATAACAATAAAACATAATTTACAAAACCAATTCACCCAGTAGAAAGAAACAAATAGCTGGTAATATCTTACGTCATGTTTATCAGAGAGACGGTGATTTTGGAAACAAAAGACTTACTTCTATAATGTCCCTGAGCGCATCCTCCCCACAGATCTGGAAGGAATACAAGACGTGCATGTAAACAATCTAATCTGATAATATATAAGACGTTATATATTAAATTGAATAGAAACATTTAATTATGATCTTGCTGACAATACACAATGCTTTTATTCTCAGAACATTTGCAGAATATCAGATAATAAGAACATAGCAGGTTACATGTTACAGTGCAATACGCACACAGTCACACTAAATATGCCCCATCGACTGGATCATCTTATAGTAAACTAGTCCCCAAGATTGTGGGGGGCACGTGTGGCCCAGTCGTCAAAGGCGCCACGATTTGCTGCGCAGAGTTGCGTCCCTTGGGCACGCCAGAAATCTATGATTTTGGGTTCGAATCCCGGTTCGCCCCGAATATGTTTTTAGGTTTGCCAGCACCATACCCGTGCTCGTGGGTTTCACCGAAGTGGTAAACGTCCGATACCTGCATCACTTCGGGCTTTCCTCCCACATTAAGCTGACACGCCGTGATATAACTGTAATACTGTTAAAAGCGGCGTTAACCCAAACTCACTCACTCACCCCACGATTGCGATATCAACTATGATGAATTCCCTCATTTTCTGAGCAAACCTTAAAACTACCCTGGTTCATTGTAAAAAAATAGTGATATAATGATTGCGTCCAGGTAAGTAGTATTTTCAACAATGATTGAAATAAGGTTAAGTATTTCTTAACTTACCAGTAGGATACCTGTCTGGGTAATAGTTGCCGGGGTAGTTGTTAGGGACGTACTGATTCCTGTATTGCACATTCGGGTACTGCTCGTGGGGTGGATATCGGTTGTAAACAGCACCAGAACATACCAGGACGAATGCGCAAATCAGAGCAAGCGACACGATAGACACCATGGTTGAGATTCTTCGAATAACAATTGACTCAAACACACATTGTTGACAAGTGTAATATGTAATTTCGTTTTAAACGCATCAATTATATATATATATATATGTATGTATATATATCATTATTAACAATTTGACACAGCATATTGTTCTAAGCGTAAAAAATTGGATAGGCCTTGATCATGTAGGATCGAGCAAGATATTCTGGCATGAAAGTTGTTAACCCAATATTTATGAGCAATCATAGACGGATAAGCTAATAATAAAAGAATAAACAATACAAAACTATAATATTGTAATCATTATTTTGGAGAAACATTGTAGGTTTTTTTTGGCAATAGAGTCAAAGTGATTGGAAATAATCAATAATAACACACAGTCAGCAATCTATGTAAGATTCAAGGCATCATGTAAACCAAAATACGATTTCCACTTTCTGCTATTAGTACAAAGCTTATTATTAATTTTTTGCTGACAGATATTCTAAATAAATAGCATCTTTTAATACTTGTTTAAAAACGTCCATTGAGGGTTTCATTTTCTTTAAACAAGAAATAAAAATGAGTCTCTTAGCTAACATAATAATATGATTATTTGCAGATTTTGCAATTATTTTACCAAACCATACATTAAATCTTGTAAAAAGTATATGACAAGTTCCAACAGAATTAAAAAAAGACTCCAAGTTCTGACCGGGTTGTTAACGACATCAAACATGGCCATCATTTTACGAAAAGAAACCCCGAATTTGCACACTGATAGGTTAACTGAAGGACTTACTCATGTAGGGGCACCCACAAGAATAGTAATAGGTAGGCGAATGGTGATATATACTACATGTGAATTTTAAGTTGAATAGTGAGAATATACTACTGATTGTTTTAAGATTGAGAAGATAATACCAATCTCAACATAGAATAATTATTTGCTGGCGTAATGGGACTGAGGATACAAAGGCATCAATTCGATAAGGTAGATGTGTAATGCTTAACATTACACTGCAATTTCTATATTCTATGAAGAAAACAATATGATCTTACCGAATATCCAGTTATGAGTCTGACACCGGGGATGTAGATCTAATGTGAGATAGTAACGAATCAATGGTTCTTATGTAGAAGTGAATAGACCCATGATGAATCGTTTGACGCATTGAAATGGCCATTTGCTTTTGACCTACACAACTCACTACAAGCTACAGCCAATAAACGGCCCTGACTGGTTGGTCACCTCGCGTCTGAAGGGCATGTGAGAACAATGAATCTGCATGTCGTTAAGGTATATGATCATTTGTTATTGTAGTGAGAGCTTTTACATCAGCCTAAAATAATCTCATTTGTTTCGGTTAATTTCGTTTTCATGGTTTATATTAAAAGTAATGTTTTCATATTTATTTTCTTACAACTTACCACTATGCTTGTTAATTAACCCTTCAACTACATGTACTTCTGCTTATGTTCGTCCTTAGATGCGAATGGATAGATACTAGTCAGCGTTTAGTGACTGTTATTAACACTTCGTTCTAAACCTTTAAAATGAAAATATAATAGTTCTATATCCTAAACAAACAAACAAACATTTTACAAGTACATATGTAACTGTCAACCGCTATTGCAACTTCAACAAGTTATGTTGCATTAATAGTTGTTCTTCCCGTCACTGATTGCAATGTTTTCAAGTTATGTTGCATAAATAGTTGTTCTTCCCGTCACTGATGGCAATGATTTCAAGTTATGTTGCATTAATAGTTGTTCTTCCCGTCACTGATGGCAATGTTTCCAAGTTATGTTGCATTAATAGTTGTGCTTCCCGTCACTGATGGCAATGTTTTCTATTGTTACTTTCTATAATAAAACTTCTCTAATGCTGTTTTCAATTTCAGTGTTACAGATCCAGGAATATTTTTCGATAACTGAAAAACCTCACGTAACTTAGTTATGTAGTTGTATTAAACATACTGGAGACAAGTAGCCATAGTATAGAATCTTTGCGAAACCATACGACAGACTTCCCAGGATGGTACAGAAAGATCTCATATCCTAACTGTATGAGGGGCGGTCCGGTAGCCTAGTGGTTAAAGCGTTAGCTCGTCACGCCGAAGACCCGGGTTCGATTCCCGACATGGGTACAATGTGTGAAGCCCATTTCTGGTGTCCCCCGCCGTGATATTGCTGAAATATTGTTAAAAGCGGCGTAAAACCATACACACTCACTCACTAAATGTATAAAAGAGATGATCATTGATTGCTCTCATCTTGTCAATGGAATTCCTGTACTTTTTTAACAATTCGTTTTCGAACACATTATGAGTGTAGTAATACTATTAGTAGCAACAGTAATATTTTTGTGATATTGTCATCACAAGTGGAAATTCATATTGATGTTTATGAAAAAAATTATAAGTATGTTTTGCACTACTTGAAGAACTGATTAGGCACCAAGGCTTACCATTTCTTCTTTGACGATTGTTTTATTGTTACAGCTACTGCTACGACTAATGCATTTGTTGTTATACTGCAAACACGATTGTAACAATGTAGCATGTACAATATGTCATATACATACTATGCGGATCCATATACTTACATGTAGTTTATTTCGTCTGGCACTACATGCCCGTAATTGACATCATGTACTGTATTAAGAAAACCACAATGTCATAACACGTGGGTTATCTTGGTACTCTTCCTTCAACCGTGACGTCATGAGAACAAATCATCAAAGGCTTTATACATTCATTTATCAACACTTGCCAAATCCCTTGACTTCCTTATGATAAAATGGAAGACAACGATATATCGTTCTCAAATTCAACTTCATTGTGAAATATGACATAATATTGTTGATGAAGAGATTTCAGCGTATGTTGATTGTAAAAACTACAATACCAGTCCTGGTCCCATACAACCAACAAATATCTCTATGTGACTATGGACTAATCGGATATAGAATAGGGGAAGTCGTTTGACCCTGATATTCAAGAATCGTATATAGAATATGGGGAGTAGTTTAAGCCTGATACTCAAGAATCGGATATAGAATAGGGGGAGTAGTTTGAGCCTGATGCTCAAGAATTGGATGGAGGACACAGGGATTATTCTGAAAATAAGTTATAGGTTAAGAAAAGTAAAGTGATTTAAGAGAGACACCTGGAGTCCAAATAAAGTTAAATATAAAACTGTAATTAAATTTCTGGTATTAAAACATCTGACACACAATATTGGTGATTGTTCTTAACCTGACATTTCAGAATAGAAAATGAGGAAGAGATCTTTTCTGTAATCATTTTAATTCAAAACAAGGGGGTTCATTTGGGCCCAGTAGGGGAGTTAGCTGAGCCTAGAGGGAGTGTTTTGAGCCTGGCTAGGGGAGTCATGTGAGCCTTGGCCAATATGACTGTAGAGTCTTTTGAACCTAGGCTCATGAGTCTAGAGTCAAATTTAGTCATTTCAGCCTACCACACCGGCATCGTACAATTCCAGGACGTCATGTCAGTCAATACACTCCTTATTACTATTACAAGAGATAAGGAGAAACTGGGAAATCTACCTACATTACAAACTTTTATTGACAAAAACATATTGACGATTAGGGCACAATTGTTGTCTATTAAATGAAGATCTATTCATATGCAGTCTGTTAAATGATCCTTCTTGTTCTACCACTTGAAAAGTTACCATATTTATTTTGAATGTTGTAATTATGACACCATGCGATGTAATTTCTTTCAGACATTATTAAGAGACATTAGGTTCAGAAGTACTTTTTTTTATTGATCTTGACATTTTTTAATCGGGATTAATCTCCTTCACATGAATAACCTGTACCTTTTAAAAGTTGTTGTCATCCTCAACAGACTCCGAAAGGGTGCTGGAATGTAGGCAAACAAGAACACTGACAAAGACGAAATAAAAAGTATAAGTAACCAACAATATCAGAATTAATCTTCAATACATCTTTTTCTTTTCCTTGTTTTCTTTTCATCTTGCAATTTAATGGCCTGGACTTTCTGGAGTAGTTTGTGTTGGGTGAGTATTAGACATTTGCATTTTTTGTTTGTTTGTCTCGTCACGATATGGCTTAAATATTGCCGATGTGACATTAAACTTTAACTCACTGTTTGTTTGTTTAACTTCTTAATATACTTTATTACACTATACATGGGAATAGAGCAAGGTGTTTTCCTCTACATAGCTGCATATGAACACATATGCATCTTCATTTAATGTACTGCAATTGTGCCTTAAGATACAGTACTATATATTTTATAAACGTTTGCAAAGTAGGGAGTGGATTTTCAAGTTTCACGTTATCTCCTATTATAAATGAACGTTTTGATTGACATGACCTACTGGGGTTGTCATACGCCGACGCTTGCATTGAGGGGGAGTTTAAAGAAAACAACTTGTCTCTTTATCAACAATAGTTTATTAAATTCAGAATGAGACATCCTTCCGTCATTCTATTGCAGTTTATCTCAAGGAGGTACAGACTTTGACACGTGTTCATGTATGAATGAAGCATTTAATTATATGCTGTCCTTGACGTCAAAGTGACAGGACGAGCGCCAACATAGTGACATGGTGGTTGCTTTTTTACATAATTACAGTTGAAAGTACATATGTAGACACTTACATGTACGTCATAAGTTATTTCATCAATATTTATACTGGCGCTTGTGATGACTACTGTAAAAGTGTTATATTTATTTATTGTTATTTTTCAAGATGACAATTAATTTCCTATCTACATTAAAGCAATCAAGAAAACCATGATATCCTTAGTGTTGTGACACAAGTGTCTACGATACAGAACACGATGCCCATTGCATATTAACGTGAGGTTGTATAGTAACAGCATGAAATACAAGATGTGTTCCGTAAATTACCAATACACTGGATTTCAGGGCCAGTAGCAGTAGCAGTAGTAGTAGCGACAGAAACAGAAACAACAGGAGTAGCAGTCGTTGCAGTGATCACAGTAGCAGTAGCAGTAGCGACAGAAACAGAAACAACAGGAGTAGCAGTCGTTGCAGTGATCACGGTAGCAGTAGCAGTAGCAGTAGCGACAGAAACAGAGACAACAGGAGTAGCAGTCGTTGCAGTGATCACAGTAGCAGTAGCAGTAGCAGTAGCGACAGAAACAGAGACAACAGGAGTAGCAGTCGTTGCAGTGATCACAGTAGCAGTAGCAGTAGCGACAGAAACAGAGACAACAGGAGTAGCAGTTGTTGCAGTGATCACAGTAGCAGTAGCAGTAGCGACAGAAACAGAAACAATAGGAGTAGCAGTCGTTGCAGTGATCACGGTAGCAGTAGCAGTAGCGACAGAAACAGAAGCAGTAGGAGTAGCAGTCGTTGCAGTGATCACGGTAGCAGTATCAGTAGCGACAGAAACAGAAACAGTAGGAGTAGCAGTCGTTGCAGTGATCACGGTAGCAGTAGCAGTAGCAGTAGCGACAGAAACAGAAACAACAGGAGTAGCAGTCGTTGCAGTGATCACGGTAGCAGTAGCAGTAGCGACAGAAACAGAAACAGTAGGAGAAGCAGTCGTTGCAGTGATCACGGTAGCAGTAGCAGTAGCGACAGAAACAGTAGGAGTAGCAGTCGTTGCAGTGATCACGGTAGCAGGAAGCAGTAGCGACAGAAACAGAAACAATAGGAGTAGCAGTCGTTGCAGTGATCACGGTAGCAGTAGCAGTAGCGACAGAAACAGTAGGAGTAGCAGTCGTTGCAGTGATCACGGTAGCAGTAGCAGTAATGACAGACACAGAAACAATAGGAGTAGCAGTCGTTGCAGTGATCACGGTAGCAGAAGCAGTAGCGACAGAAACAGAAGCAGTAGGAGTAGCAGTCGTTGCAGTGATCACGGTAGCAGTAGCAGTAGCGACAGAAACAGAAACAACAGGAGTAGCAGTCGTTGCAGTGATCACGGTAGCAGTAGCAGAAGCGACAGAAACAGAAGCAGTAGGAGTAGCAGTCGTTGCAGTGATCACGGTAGCAGTAGCAGTAGCGACAGAAACAGAAACAATAGGAGTAGCAGTCGTTGCAGTGATCACGGTAGCAGTAGCAGTAGCGACAGAAACAGTAGGAGTAGCAGTCGTTGCAGTGATCACGGTAGCAGTAGCAGTAGCGACAGAAACAGAAGCAGTAGGAGTAGCAGTCGTTGCAGTGATCACGGTGGCAGTAGCAGAAGCGACAGAAACAGAAACAATAGGAGTAGCAGTCGTTGCAGTGATCACGGTAGCAGTAGCAGAAGCGACAGAAACAGAAACAATAGGAGTAGCAGTCGTTGCAGTGATCACGGTAGCAGTAGCAGTAGCGACAGAAACAGAAACAATAGGAGGAGCAGTCGTTGCAGTGATCACGGTAGCAGTAGCAGTAGCGACAGAAACAGTAGGAGTAGCAGTCGTTGCAGTGATCACGGTAGCAGTAGCAGTAGAAGCTGCACCATCATGAACACATGTGAAAACAATTACAATAAGGATTGGAAATGAACAAATCTTATACGCTTACAATGATTAACACCCATGGTCGATGATGAAAATGTAATACACGATCAGCCTAATTTATCACTTGCATAAATACAAACAATCGAAAATAACATACCCTTGGTTACTCCGATAAAAAACACTTATCAATTTGTTTACGGTAGTGGTTTAAAATGGGTGTTCCAACTATCCAAGACGTTTGATAAAAGCAAATATAAAATGCGTCAAAATGTGCATACAGTAATAATGCTCTTCGTACTAATAGAACAAGTGGAAGCATTAGTTATAGCAGCAACGCGTGGTGACAACGAGAAACAGCAGGAGCAATATTATGTGTTGTAATGGCCTTAGCAATGCAAAGTGGTTCATGTAGTAGTAGTAGTAGTAGTAGTAGTAGTAGTAGTAGTAGTAGTAGTAGTAGTAGTAGCAGTAGTAGTAGTAGTAGTAGCAGCAGCAGTAGTAGTAGGAGTAGCAGCAGTAGTAGTAGTTTCACTAATAAGTTATCAGTTCATGCTAGGAACTGTAGTGGCAGTAGTGGCAGTAGTAGTAGTAGTAGTAGTAGTTGATTGGTTGGTTGGTTTGTTGTTTAACGCCGTACTCAGCATTATTCCAGCTATATGACGGCTGTCTGTAAATCATCGAGTTAGGACCAGACAATCCAGTGATTAATATAATAAGCACCAATCCACGCAACTGGGATCGATGACATGAACCAACCAAGTCAACGAGCCAGACCTCCCGATCCCGTTAGACGCCTCCTACGACAAGCACAGTCGCCTTTTACAGAAAGCATGGGTTGCTGAAGACCTATTCTAACCCTGATCTTCACGGGTCAATAGTAGTAGTAGTAGTAGTAGCAGCAGCAGCAGTAGTAGTAGTAGTAGTAGTAGTAGTAGTAGTAGTAGTAGTAGTAGTAGTAGTAGTGCTATTTCTGCTACTACGACTACTACACCAACAGTTCCAAGGATAATCTGACGACCTATGATAGAAATGTATCGAAATGAGGTAAAGCTCACAACAACGTGACCATTATTTTGATAAGGATGATTGGTGATTATATTAATAATAACAAAACTAGAAACATAAACACAAATGTTGTCAGTCACCTTGTGCAATAAAAAAAGACATATTTTAAGAGTCATTGTTTTGACAGATGCTCCAAATGTCATGAAGGCGACACAGGGTTATACCCCGTGACGGATGAATGACTTAAACAATTCCTTGCCACCGGATGTCTGTCAGCTGTGGTGTTACCAACCAGTCACAGCCGTTTATTGGCTGTAGCTTGTGACGAAGTAGAAATATAGTGATAAGGAAATGCTAATTTCCATACGTCAAACGATGTTTTTATACGTCTATTCACTTCTATATAAGGCCCAGTCTCTCACCTCAGAGCAACATCAACGGTTCAGACGCACATCTGCTGTTCAGGTAAGACAATATGTTTCTATCTGCACACTAGAATGAACTGTGTAAAGTATAGCATCAGCCATGGCGAGCTCTCTTATAAAAGGGTGAGGTGAGGTGAAATGGGGTTTAATATCGCGTCCAAGATTATTGCACTTATATAGCGACGTGCATGTACGTGTGTGTGTTTGTGTGGCTGCTTGTACTAGTCCGCACTGATGCCGATTTATAGTGCTAGCTCACTGAGATGCCATGCCGCAGTTTAACATGAATACCCCACTCAGACACAGTATACTGACTCCGAGCCGACCAGTCCTTGTTTTAGCCCCTTAATGCCGAGCGCCAGACAGGATAACAACAAGTACCATCTTTTAACGTCTTTTGGTATGACGCGGCCGGGGATCGAACCCCGGACCTTACGCTGTTCGGGCGGACGCTCTACCAGTAGACCACGGAGGTGGTCCTTATAATAGGGGCATTACGGTAGCTTATATAACTCACTGATTGGTAAAGACGTGTTTGCCGTGTCGCAGACCCTGGTCCAGTACCCTATCTTGGTTCAGTGTACGAAGCTCGTTTTGGTGTTCCCTATTGGGACACTATTACTTTTCATGGAAATAGCATCACATACATATATGACGTAATACTTCCTTTAACATATTAATAGGCAAGGTTTAGTCCATACAAAAGTTTCTCTTTGTGTCTAAGGGGCGGTCGGGTAGCCTAGTGGTTAAAGCGTCAGCTCGTCACGCCGAAGACCCGGGTTCGATTCCCGACATGGGTACAATGGTTGAAGCCCATTTCTGGTGTCCCCCGCCGTGATATTGCTGGAATATTGATAAAAGTGGCGTTAAACCAAACTCACTCACTCACTCACTGACTTTGTGTGCAAAGTGAGCAGTTAGGACGAAACCATGTTCAATATTTTAGTCTATTTTTCTGCTTCCATAAAGATTGCAACACATGTACAGTCGTACAGGAGGTCTCAAACGTAAAAAGAAAGCTATCAATTCCTTTTTTATCAAATTTACGTGTACGTGTATTACGTCATTTTACAGATATCATTTTAAGAAATATGTTGTTCTTTCAGAATCTCAATCATGGAGTCTATCTTGTCCCTTGCTCTGTTGTGCGCATGCTCCTTGGTATGTTCCGGTGCTGTCTATAACCGTTATCCATCCTACGGGCAGTACCCGGATGTACAATACAGAGATCAATACTACCCTAACAACTACCCTGGTAACCAGAACCCAGACAGGTATCCTACTGGTACGTAAAGCAATAATCAGCCTCACTTTATGACCTTTGTGAAACGAAATAATTAAATTACTTTGTAGCCATATGATCGTATTAATTCAGAATCGACTTTAAACAGTGTCGGGAGTTTAGTGGAGTATGGGTATTCATAAAATGAGTGTTGAACTTGATGGACGTCAGGCCGTGGCTCGTCATTCACATACCTACAGCTGGCTGCTCTGCGATCACGTACTGAAGTAGCTACATATACTAGTGTGGGACAGGGCCGAAGATCTACAAACTCAAAGGAGTCAAGCTGCCGAACGCGGTCACTATCCAACTAGGGGGCACGGGTGGCCCAGTCGTCTAAGGCGCCGCGATTCGCTGTGCAGAGTTGCGTCTTTGGGAATGCCAGAAACCTATGGTTGTAGGTTCGAATCCCGGTTCGCCCCGATTATGTTTCTAGGTTTGTCAGCACCACACCCGTGCTCGTGGGTTTCACCGAAGTGGTAAACGTCTGAGACCTGCATCACTTCGGGCTTTCCTCCCACATTAAACTGACACGCCGCGATATAACTGGAATACTGTTAAAAGCGGCGTGAAACCAAACTCACTCACTCACTCACTATCCAACTACTCTTGCTTAACTTTAACTGATGTGTCACCTGGTGTGTGACCGCGTGTCATTATGGGCCTCATCTCATGTATTTAGGGGGCACAGGTGGCCCAGTCGTCTAAGGCGCCGCAATTCGCTGTGCAGAGTTGCGTCCCTTGGGCACTGTTGACTTTGGGTTCGAATCCGGGTTCGCCCCGAATATGTTTCTAGGTTTGTCACCACCATACCCATTCTCGTTGGTTTCACCGTAGTGGTAAACGTCTAAGTCCTGCATCCCTTCGGGCTTTCCTCCCACATTAAGCTGACACGCCGTGACATAACTGGCTTAATGTTAAAAGCGGCGTTAAACCAAACTCACTCACTCAGTCACTCACTCTCATTTATTAATATATTTATGTTATAAACGTCTTTTAATTACGGGTGTGATGACTTAAATCGAGCGGAATCATAGACAGTAAATAATTTTCGAGAGAGTGTCGTAAATAATATGCAGCTGTAATATATCTGCGTGAGGGACAAGTTGGATGTTTTCCAATGCTACTTATTCAACATCTTCCCGAGGCAAGAGACTGTAAAATTCCAGTTTCCACATGTCCAGTTAACTCCCTTTGTCTCGGGAAGATGCTTTTTCAAATGTTTAACACTTAGTAGTCTACCAATGACACATATCATCTAAAGAAGCAGATTGTGTACATGTCTTGTGTTACTTCCAGATCTGTGGGGAGGACGTTCTCAGGGACATGACAGAAGTAAGACCCAAGTATCTCAACCACGATCAGACAAACGTGATATATTTCCCTCTATACACTCATACTCATTTAAACCTCATTACCTTGGCCGCCTCCGGGGTCTAGTGGTAGAGTGTCCGCCCGGAGAGCGTCATACCAAAAGACGTTAAAGGATGGTACTTGTTGTTACGCTGCCTAGCGCTCGATATTAAGGAGCTAAACAAGGACTGGTCCGCTAGGAGTCAGTATTCTGCTTCAGACTGGGTATTCATGTTAAACTGGGGCATGGCATCACAGTGGGCTAGCACTATAAAATCGGCATAAGTGTGGACTAGTACAAGCAGCCACACACACACATGCATGCACGTCGCTGTGTAAGTGCAATAATCTTGGACGCGAAGTTAAACCCCATTTCACCCTACCTCACCTTAATACCCTCCATTTACTGAATGAGATGAGAAATTTATTCTTTCATATTTAATAAAAAAAAGGGTAAATACCATGCGAAAACATACGTATTATTGTGCAGGAATTCCTTCTGAAATATGCTTAGTATCGTGTTGAATAAATGATGTTGATGTCACCATCGATGGCTTCTATTATGTGCTTGTTACATACCATATATCATAATGAATGCTTTCATTTGACCAGGATACCGTCGATCTGTGCCGTCCCATGTCAATGGATACCCGAGTTACAAACAAACCTACCCGTCCAATGACTACCCTACGTATCCTTCACACCTACCATCCTACCCGTCAACACACACCCAAACCTACCCTGAACATGTGAACACCTACCCAGCGCATCAAGACGGTTACCAAGGTATGTGACAAATACAATGGACAATACCTTCTAGCACAGTAATTAGAAACATATCCATCATCATCATCATCATCATCATCATCATCAATTAATCTTTTTCGGTTTATGCATTCATCATTGGGAATCACAACCAAATACTACCCGTGAAGATCCGGGGTAGAATAGGTCTTCAGCAACCCATACTTGCCGTAAAAAGCGACTATGCTTGTCGTAAAAGGCGACTAACGGGATCGGGTGGTCAGGCTCGCTGACTTGGTTCATACATGTCATCGATCCCAATTGCGTGGATCGATGCTCATGATGTCAATCACTGGATTGTCTGGTCAACACGAATATTATTCTACAGACCGCCGTCATATAGCTGGAATATTGCTGAGTGCGGCGTTAAACAACAAACAAACAAACAAAAACACAACGAAATGCATTATTTTTACAGGAGTGCGAAATAATCGGTACTTGATGTGCTCGTAAAATACCAAATTTATTTTTTCTCACGCTGTATTGCACAATAATGTATGTGGATATTTGCAGGTCAGAGATGGAACCAGTGGGGAGCCCAGTCCGGCACCCAGAAATATGGCTCTTACCGGGTAGGTTTCTTATCCTTCATTGGAAATAAGTCAATCAGAATTTAAAACTTATTCAAATCTTACCTCTTACACCAACTTAATTTGGAGGTGTCCGTCAAGACATAACATGAATTAATTGATGAACATTTTATATAATAGCTTGGGTATTGGTACAAAATGATAACAATAACATCGAGTATTTGATATATGCAATAAAATGACAAACGTGTATATAGTTAATAGTGTTCAACTGACAAGCCACAATATTCTTTCTTTTCCATTTTATATGAAACAGCTTACGTTCTTTATTTGCAGGGATAAAGATATAATTGATGCTCATCCGTGACCTCCAAACTTGAAATCCTCGCTACAGATTATGCAATGTACAAGTCTTTGTGAATAAAGTTTATATTAAGATGTGCTGTTGTTATGTAGACTTTTACTTCAGACAGATATGGTAAGACAAACACCTTGTAACTGTCAACATATTTAACATTACTTGACTGACATGATGCATTCGCGATTCAGCAGCCCGCACGTCTAACTATACGACGGGATGGATTTCAACTGCTATGTCAATTTACATGTCACCTTTAATTTGTACAACATTAAAAAAACAGTCAACAATGACAATGTAAGAGACACATACGAGTACATACCTCGACGGAAGACACAAAGTTTTTTGTTTGTTTGTTTATTTGCTTGTTTGTTGTTGACCACCACCACCACCACCCCATCACAAAACCCCCACCCTCACCCCCGACCTCACCCCCACCCCCACACTCAGCAATGTTCCCGCAATCAGTGGGATCATGCCGTCCGGGGCGGTCGGGTAGCCTAGTGGTTAAAGCGTTCGCTCGTCACGCCGAAGACCCGGGTTCGATTCCCGACATGGATACAACGTGTGAAGCCCATTTCTGGTGTCCCCCGCCGTGATATTGCTGGAATATTGCTAAAAGCGGCGTAAAGCCATACTCACTCACTCACTCATGCCGTCCTTTACCCTTATTGCACGTGTGGTATCGGCTGGTCATGCAGCAGGAGCTTTTCACTTTTTCGCATTTTCTACAAATAAAACGTGCCGTGGACGTATAAAGTTTTCTTTGAAGAGCATTGTTGTGTTTGAACGATGTGTTTTGCATTGATTTAGTTTGAACTTAATTTTGTTGCATTTTCATTTTATATATATCGTCAGTTTATATATATTGCTCATATAACATGGAACGTTAACGACTGAATAATCAGTCTCGAATATTGACCGAAACAATCCCATTGTATTGAAAATGTGAATGGATCATTGAAAATCTCAAATAACACCAGGTGTTCACAAATACGGTAAACATGTCCGACTCTACCTGTTCCACCCGCTCTGTCCTGCTCTACGAGCCACCCACACACTTTACAAAAATAGGGTGAGTGTTTCCCTGTTACCCAACGCGGCACCACCCAGCAATTATACCCTTCCCGTGCCAAGGCGATCGTGTGAATCAAAATGGCTTGGTGTAATTTGGCGAAGCGTCGTACAATTACCCTGACCACAGCCTTCTTGCCAACTGTTTCTAAACAGGGATGTGATCGAGATTCTTTGGAACGCATTGTGCATTGTTACTTGTTGGTCGTTACCGGTGGGGACGAAGCGTCCGCCTAATCCAGTTTCGAATCCTTGAAACAACGTCTATCCACTTAATTAATAGTTGGGAACCTTTGATTACTCAAATATTGGTTTAAGCTGCGTAAAATCAGAGGACCTTACTTAAGCCTCATTCTTTTTCAAATACAAAAAATGCAATGTTCTGCTGTAAGGTGAGACGGACGCTCTTCCCAAGTGTCCTATGTCCTATGTCCTATGTCCTATGTGGGATAGGTGAAGAACTCTATAACTCGACGTTCTATTTAAGACGATATCACTTTATGGTCACAGAAATTCTAGTCTCTAGGGATTGGTTGGTTGGTTTGTTGTTTAACGCCGCACTCAGCAATATTCCAGCTATATGACGGCGGTCTGTAAATAATCGAGTCTGGACCAGACAATCCAGTGATTAATATCATGAGCATCGATCCACGCAATTGGGATCGATGACATGCATCAACCGGGTCTCTAGGGAGTATACAAGCTGCCTGTTAGACGTTAGAAGGTTAACAACCACATTGCCATCTCATGCTACCGGGTACCCACTCACTGCTGGGTGAACAGAGGCCCATATTCGAACATAGACACTTGCCCAAGGAGACGCCACATATGTTACAAGTGCTTCAGTGTAGGGCCCGACCGAAGCCCTAGAAACTCTCAGGAGCCAAGTTGCCGAAACGCGGTCACCCATTCAAGGGCTCTCCGCGACTGACGTTGCTTAACTTCACCTGATTTGCGCCTAACAGGCAACTTAGGTTTTGTACTCCCCAGGCCAGGGAGCTGAAAATGAAAATCTAGCGCACGCTGATCATGATCCATTGATAACAAGTAGTAAATACTCATATCCTCCGCCAATACCGCCATTTTAGCCTAAATCAAAGTCGCTGCCATGGAAACTCGAATTTTTTTTCTCGAAAAACCCAAACTATCAAAAGGCACCATTTCACCATTAGTCCTATCCATGTGCCAAGTTTGGTTAAGATATCTCTCATGGTTTTTTAGTTCTGCTCCGGAAACGACACTTGATGGACGGAAGGACGCACGGACAACACCCATTTCTATACCCGCTTCCCACTTCGTGGCGGAGGATAATAATATAGCACTCTTTAGGGTGTGGATTTGGCGAATTATAAATATGCACATTACAGTTACGATCTGTAAAGGAAAAACTGCTTCCCTGCGTCTGAGATCAAATAATCGTGGGTTTGATGTACACATTCGCCCTGACCAAGGTCACTGGTTTGTCAACACCGTGCTCGTTGTTGTCAGAGACATCATGTTTGGTTTTCGCCCGACGTTAAGCTATATCTATTACTGAAATACTCTTCAGGGTGCCATAGGAGTCAGCTGTAATGAATCGTAAAGAAACCTCTTCGGGTACAGGACTTACACAAATAACGGGTGACTATCAATATCTGAGGTTGTGCTTCATTGATATCCCAGTGTCCATTCAAGGCGTGTTCCCACAATCGACAATACAACTTCAATCTAAACACACTCATGGGGGTATATCAATATTGTGTTTCCAAATTGCTATCTGATTAAGAATGCATGTCTCTTTTTTATCCCACGAAAGGTGGATCAATAAAAATGGCAGTATACTTTTGGCGTGGGTGTGAATACAACTCACATATTATGACTGAGATGTTTAGGGGCAGACCGTTTGATATTCGGAGGGTGGGGGTGAGGTTGGGGTGGTGGTGGTGGGGGGGGATGAGGTTGTGGGGGTGGGATGGTGTGGATGAGGTGGTGGGGTTGGGGTGGTGGGGGTGGGGTGGTGGAGGTGAGGTTGTGGGGATGGGGTGGTGGGGATGGGTGTTTGGGGTGGGGTGGTGGGGATGAGTTGGTGGGGGTGAGGTTGTGGGGTTGGGGTGGTGGGGATGAGGTGGTTGGGGTGGGATGGTGGGGATGAGGTTGTGGGGGTTGGGTGGTGGGGGTGAGGTTGTGGGGGTGGGGTGGTGGGGGTGAGGTGGTGGGGGTTGGGGTGAGGATGGGTATATACAACTTATAATTTGATCTCGAGAATAGTGGAAATATTGTTAGCCTGATTCCGATCAGCTCCCCAGCTACCGAGAAACTACTTTTGAAAGACACGAGATGAAGTGAGGTTTAACGTTGCGTTCATGCATATTGCATTTATGTAACGACGCGCATGCATGTGTGGCTGTTTGTTCTAGTCAGTAATTAAGTCGGTTTTATAGTGCTAGCCCACTGAGAAACTATGCTTCAGTTTTGTTTTGCATTTTTAAACATATTTTATTCATGAAAAGAATTGGGCACAATTTATCACAACTCAGAACGACATCTCACATAGATTTACATCTAAACTTATAAAAAATGAATACAATCAACGACAGAAAGGGAAAAGAAGATATAGAGAAACGTTTGTAAACTAACATTGGTGACTCAAACTGTTTTGTTTTCTTTATATATATATATATGTAAATGTTGGTTCCTAAAGATGTGTCCGTTCACATTAGGTGAATCTGCATTGCCAACTAGCATCAAGTCAATATTACATCACACAGTTACAATAGTGAGTGACCCGTGAATATGCGGGGTAGAATAGGTCTTCAGCCACCCAAGCTTGCCGCAAAAGGTCTTTTTGTAACAGGCGACTATGCTTGCCGTAAGGGGCGACCAACGGGATCGGGTGGTTAGGCTCGCTGATTTGGTTGATGCTCATGATGTAAATCACTGGATTGTCTTGTCCAGACTTTATTATTGACAGTCCGATGTCATATAGCTGGACTATTGCTGAATGCGGCGTTAAACAACAACAGACAAACAAACATTCCAGAATGCCTTCACATATTTACACGACAGAAATAGATTTGTCCTATTTTCACTTTCATTCTCACAATAAGTGCATATATTTTTGTCATGTTTTTCATCAGTTGCAGTTCAATTTTAGAAAAGGCTATTGATCCAATCGGTAGTATTTCAGTAAAATCCTTTATTGTACGTGGAATGAAACAACATGTAGGCTAGATAGGTCTTATTTCGCAGCCAAATCTTCAGAAACATATCCGTATGAACCAAAATCACTGTGCGTAGTTAAGACGCTTTAATTTTATGCAGACATTCCAAAGGGTAAGCTTTCGGTAAACGGGCTTTCCAAATTAAAGGATTCCGGTCAACTGGGTTTTAATATACTAAAGTAATTCCAACATGTGTTGCGAGGGAAAGTGATAAACAAAGCGAGCTCACAAACACTCCCATCTTCAGAGAATGTGAGAAAATATATTCGGGCCACCCACACCCACACCCGCCATCGGTACAACGATCTTTCTCTACGGGAATCAGTTTGATGAATAATGAACAACAAAATGTGAACTGTGACATGTCTATTTTATGTTGAGCATTATCTCAAGTGATTCCGGATTTCAAACAATGGCATAACTGTATATCGAGCTCATTCTCTCCTTGCCTGAAGCCGTAACTAATGGGATCTGAACCCTCTACACTCGATATAATGGCCATGTTGACGGTAGATGTAGACAAACTAACAGGTGCAAACATCACCATTTTGCATTAGATGTAGACAAACAAGCGGGTGCAAACCTCACCATGTTACATTAGATGTAGACAAACAAGTAGGTGCAAACATCGCCATCTTCCATTAGATGTAGACAAACAAGTAGGTGCAAACATCACAATGTTACATTAGATGTAGACAAACAAGTAGGTGCAAACATCGCCATGCTACATTAGATGTTGACAAACAAGTAGGTGCAAATCTCAACATGTTACACTAGATGTAGACAAACAAGTAGGTGCAAACATCGCCATCTTCCATT